TGCCATTCTGTCACTTATTCTGATTTCAGATTCCGATACAATACAGATACACTCCAAACACGAAAGTCATTTTGTTATTCATTCGAGAATCAAATACAGTTACAGCTCGGATATGCTCCATACACGGATGCCATTCCATTTCCCATACAAATTCGGTCTCCAGATACAGTTTAGATACGTTCCAAACACGGATACCATTCTGGTACTTATTCTTCTGACTTACAACATACAATTCAACAAACAATCTTGGATAGCATCTTTAAGCCCATCTCCAAAAAGATTCTATCACATCTCCAAAATGGCATCTTTAAGCCCATTCCCTCAACTATATTTTTGACGAGTGCAAATTTACGGGCACTCTAGTATCCAATCATCTTTTACCTTCGAGTCACACGCAATGGCCTCTGCACCCCAATATGTCATCAGTGCACATTTCAATGGTGAGACATACATTTTTCTCACCTCTGGGTTTTGGTTTAGAGACACAGACAACATCCGATTTTGTTTAAATAGGAAATCCAATTTCTTGTACTTCAAAAAATGATTGGAGGCCAAACTTGGACGAGGCCCGGTGACACAAATATTTTATTAGAATCTGGTTTTTTTTGGTAAAAACCAAATAATATTTTATAAGGTTGAGGTTCAAGATGATGAGGATCTTCAGAATATGTTTTCCAATCATGAGTATTCTGGGTACGACTCTATTGAGTTGTACATTATACTGCGAGAGACTCAGGTGACACAAGTGGTTGATCCTTTGGAGACCGAACAAGCAGAAGTAGATGCAGTTGATGAAGAAGAAGAAGATGACGAGTTGGAGTTTGACGAAATGGTCAATGATGATTCCAAAGACGATGGGATACCTGGTATTCCTGCAAACGAGATCTACACACCACCTCCGCATATGACAAACTTCAACATGGGCAGAGATGAATCGTCTTCTGATTTATTTTTCAATCTGTATATGCAGTCGGATGAAAACTTAAAAGAGAAAGAAAATTTTTGTAACAGAGAAGAATGTATCAGAGCCATCAAAAAATTCCACATGCTTAACTCGGTCGATTTTAAGGTGGACCGTGTAAATCCAGAAAGGTACAAGATCAAGTGTGTCCACCCTGATTGTATGTTCAAGCTCACTGCATCATACAGATTAAGAGGTGATTGTTGGGTCATAGGTTCCATGTCTACCCACACTTGTGTCAGTTCTACTCAATCGCAGGATCATCGAAAACTTAATTATGATCTCATTTGTCAAGAAATCCTACCACTCGTCAGCAACGATCCATCTTTGAAGGTGAAAACCATCATCTCCCACATTACTACGGTATTTAACTATACTCTGTCTTACCGTAAGACGTGGTTAGAAAAGACCATGGCGATTGAAAAGGTATATGGAAACTGGGAGGAGTCATACCAAGAACTTCCTCGCTACCTGAATGCATTTCAGACTTATTCTTCGGGTACTGTTTACATTCTGGAAACAGTGCCAGCATACGCCCCAGATGGTGGTCAACTCAACGGAAATGGAATATTCAGTCGAGTGTTTTGGGCTTTTCAACCTTGCATCACAGGGTTTGCATCATGCAAACCAATTATACAAATTGATGGGACTTGGTTGTATGCGACATACAAAGGCACGCTACTGATGGCAGTTGCACAAGATGGCAACAACAACATTTTCCCAATTGCCTTTGCCCTAGTCGAGGGGGAGACTGGTGGTGCTTGGAGATTTTTTCTCACAAATATGCGAACACATGTGGCTCCTCAACCAGATCTCTGTTTGATCTCGGATAGACATGCATCTATTGAAAGTGCATACAATAATCCTGCAAACGGTTGGCATGACCCTCCTTCTACGCATGTTTATTGCGTTAGACATATCGTCCAAAATTTCACGAGGGAGATCAAAGACAAAACACTTAGGAAAGCGGTTATGAATGCGGGGTATGCATTGACACAGCCTACGTTCAAATATTATCGCAACAAGATCTGTTTGTCAAATCTGGAAGCCGGTAGGTGGATCGATAATATTGCTGTAGAAAAATGGACTAGGTCATACGACAATGGCCAAAGATGGGGACACATGACAACAAATCTAATTGAATCGATGAATGGGGTATTCAAAGGCATACGAAACCTCCCGGTCACTGCTTTGGTAAAATCAACATATTTTAGGATGGCTTCGTTGTTTGCCAAAAGGGGTGAAATATGGAATGCGGTGTTGCAATCTGGACAACTATGGAGTGAAAGCTGCATGAAGTACATTAAGGCAGCAAGTGTCAAAGCCAACACCCATATGGTTATACGATTTGACCGACACATCCACAACTTCATTGTCAAAGAGACAATCGACCACAATAAGGGCCTGCCAAGATAAGAATATAGGGTTGTACTACCTTCTCGTTGGTGCGATTGTGTCAAGTTTCAAGCCTTTCGTATTCCTTGCTCTCATGTCATTGTCGCGTGTGCCTATACTCATCAAGACACACTACAACTTTTGTCACACGTTTACAACAACAGCTTCCCTTTGGTAGCAAAACCAGATTATTGGCCTGCATACGACAGCAAAATAGTATGACACAATGACCAGATGCAAAGGAATAAAAAGGGTCGTCCCAAAAGTAAGCGCATCACAACCGAAATGGACTCCCTTGACAAGTTGGAAAGAAAACGTGATTTATGTCGTCAGGTCGGACACAACTGCAAAAATTGTCCGAATCGGGCTACTGCCTCAACCACATAAAAATTGTATTACATAAAATCTTTCCTTTATTATGTTGTAAACGTTAGGGTTTTTCGTTAACAGTATTTGTTACAATAAACATTGCGCGAATAAGAAAAAAAAACACGATAACCCGCCTACGAAATTACAACTGTTAAAACAATATCATCTGACACATGCATCATCAACATTACGTCGCTGTCTGTTTTGACTTCCTCCAACCAAACATTAGGTCTTCTTGTCGTAAGTGAGGTTGTTGTTCATCTTCGCTGGATCCTTCTAATTTTCCCCCTCCATGATGTCTCCTTCTAGCCATCGCATCAACTCCCGCTTCAGACGCTCTATGGAGTGAATGTGCCAGAATTTCATTTTTATCGGAGGTTTCATGGCGGAGAAGATAACGTAACCATCTCTGATAAAAATCATGGGCGATGTCATGACGCAAATAACAGAGTAAAAAATAAGAAAATAATGCAAGAAAGTGTGAGAAATGACGGAGAAACAGACAAATTATTTATAAAAACAACATTTTTCCCTAGGAGTCAAGTAAGATGGCGCTTCCTCTCACTTTTAAAGTGCATGCGCCATCTCACTTGGTTAAAAGAGAGAGGAGGCGCCAAGTGAGATGGCGCCTAGGGCTAATTGCTTAGTGGAGGCGCCAAGTGAGATGGCTCCTCCTTTGTGGAGTCATCTGAAACATGGTTATTTGCGTATTTTTTTCCGAAACATGGTTATTTGCGATTTTTTTTTAATACATGGTTATTCCGAAAAAAAAATTCAAAAATTTCACATATGCATATTCAAATTTTGAAAAACATTAGAAAATTTCGGAGATGCGTCTCTAGAATGTTTTGCAACTCAAAATAACGTTAATGGTGCAAATGTAGTTCATGCCAACATTCAAGATAATGCATTGATCATCAAAATGTAAATAACATATTAAAATTATCTATTACATAACATAATGCTCAATTTTTACATATGTATGTAGAAAATAATAATAATAATAATAATAATAATAATAATAATAATAATAATAATAATAGAAAAATAAAAAACTTATCAAATTTGAGTATAGTTTGATGTTGACTGTTGAGTGAGTTCTTTGACCAATTTGAAGTGAGTTGAATGATTTTGAGATAATATGAGTTGAGAGAGTTTCATATTTGAGTGGTTTAAAATTTAAGAGAGTATATTTTAAAAGTGAAGAAGGAGAAAGGGTCTGACAGGTTTTTGATTAAACATCGTTTGAAGATGCGTCTTCGAAAGTTATACGAAGATTGTATCCGTTTTTTACCTAGCCTTAGAGCCTAATTCAGGAAAGAATGTGTTTGGGGTGCTTTCGAAGATGTATCTCCAAAATTTAGAGATATTTTTTATTTTTCACGAAAATGTAGTAGTAATTCTAAGGGTGTTTTAAGCAATTTCCAGGATGATTGCTACATTTTGAATAATGACATTGTTAACCGAAAATATATTTATTATTTGTTAAAGCAACTGGTTAATGATTGGCAAATTTTGATACAAGAAGAAATATATGAAAAAAAATTCAAATGAAAAAAGTCCAACAATGACTTGTGGAAAAATCATCCGTTTAACTAGTCTCTAGTGTTCTTAACTTTGAGATGAAAAATCAAACCAACCATTAATGCACTGCCGACAGGTTCCATCTTTGAAGACTTAAAGTCAATGTAAACAAAGCACAAGATATATGGAGAATTATTGCATTGCCGACAGGTTCCATCTTTGAGGAAGACTTTAAAGTCAATGAAAATTGAGTAGAATTATTCATAGAGTTGTGCATTGAAAATTTTCACATTTTTGAACTATTAAAGTCAAAGATGCTACGGTACACGCTGTGATTTTGCCATGGATATGTTAAATGATAATTAAATACAAAAGTGCAATTGTATGGGTGAAATTTGTTAAGAGTTTTTGAATTAGCAATCGTATGAGTGAAATTTGTTAAGAGTTTTTGATTATGTTTTTGTGAGTAATTGTTACATAATTGTGTTTTACTAAAAGGTGTCTAATTAATAAATAAAGCATTTTGATTTAATATGTGATACATTTCCATGAATAAGCTTGGTTGTTATGCGGTCGTTGGATTCACTGTTTGGAAATGGGCACAAATTCATCAAAAGAAAAGACAGTGATGCAGGCGAAATTGTTCTTGTCCCTTATTTTTCTTAGCTTATTGAAATTGAGTTTTATTTTAGACTTTTTTTTGGTCAAAATGTAATAAAAATCGTAATTTTTGAGTACTTATTGAGAGGTAATGTCTGAGAACTGTCATTTTGCTCCGGTTTCTCATTTCACATCTCCTCGTATTTTCTTCAATTTCAATCTCGATCCAGGTTCCGCATCTCTTCAGACTTCAGATGATCCAACTCTCATCACTGATGAGTATTTACTTCATTTTTTTTCTCTATTTGTTCTTAGATTTCAGTTCTATCTTCTCTTTAGAGTGGATTTATTCATAATTATCTACTATGTAGATTTTTGTTAGGAGTCTTCTATCAATTTATTGAGAAAATTTTCTTGTAATCTTCAAAATGTGTAGCCAAAAAAACAGTTAATTAATTCTTGTTGCCCATTTTAAGACTTTGTGTTCAACTTGTGAAGTTTGCAATTAAGCCATTGGTACTTGAGTTCAACTGCATTGTTTGTCCCTTATATCCCTTATTCCGCCCATTGCCTCGTAGTTTAGTTGATTTAAAACATGATTTATTATGGGAATTGGAGAACCTTGTTTCATTACCTCACTCATTTTATGTTATATTTATAGAATTTTACCAGTTATTCTTCTGTGCAATACATCATTTAAATGCGGTTATGAGTGTTGCGATTGTTGTCATTGTCAATGTTTTAGAAAACAATATGCGATCACAAAACCAATTGCGACAAATTATATACCAATATATGTCGATACTAATATTGTTATTCATTGTTTCTATGTTAAAGAACAAATTGTGTTTAATTTATGCTGCGACGACTATAGACAGTGTTGCAACTCCTGTACTGAAAGCCTTTACGCGACCGCAATTGGTAATTAAAATTGTGGTCATTGTTGTTGTTGCGGCATGTTGAGTGAAAAGAAATTCACATGTTTGTAACCGGTTATTTCAAGCCTTTAACCGATTACAACTAAAACATAATGTTTTGTAATCGATTACACATTGTTAGTAACTAGTTACACTTGTTTTAATTTAGCCTATAAGCGGTTACAATTGCAGGTTTTTCAGTTTTTTAATTTTTTTTCTATACCTCATTCTATGTAAGTGTATATATTGTCAGGTAAACTGCCTTGATGTCTTTCTCATTGTTATTTCTTGTATATATAGAGGTTACAGAGCTATACAAGTAATTACACTAAATAATTACATTTAATAAGAACAAATCAATTTCTGGTTTGTTTCCCTTATTCTAGGAACAAATTAATTCCTATTCACACCCCCATCAAATTGATGTTGTTGGTCAATGAGCATCAATTTGCTAACAAGAAACTGATGATGTGGACGTGGAACAACCTTGATAAGAATATCTGCAACCTGCAATTGAGTACTAACATGAGGAAGTGATATTAGTTGGTCATCATACGCGTCACAGATTGAGTAACAATCAACTTCGATATGTTTAGTGTGTTCAAGAAAAACAAGATTCACAATAATTTGGATGGCACTTGTATTGTCAGCATAAAGTGAAGTTGACTCTATTTGAGGAAATCCAAGTTCAGCCAAAAGACCACGAAGCCAAATTATTTCAGAACAAGCACCATACATGGCACGATACTTAGATTCAGTAGAAGATTTAAAGACTCACGCTTGTTTCTTACTTTTCCATGGGATCAATGAAGAGCCTAGAAACATACACCAACCAGTGATAGATCATCGAGTATCCGGACATTATGCCCAATCGGCATTACTATAAGCACTTAATTTAGGAACAACTCCAGTAAGAAAGAATAAACAATGATGAGAGCTTACCTTCAAGTAACGAATTATGCGACGAACTGCTGTCAAGTGAAGGTGGCAAGGAAAGTGCATGAATTGACTTAGTTGTTGAATAACAAAAGATATATCAGGGCGAGTAATAGTCAAGTAATTAAAGCTACCCATGAGTTAACGATACCACAATGGATTAGACAAGAGATCACCATTATCACGATGATATTTAACATTAACCTCAAGAGGAGTATCCACTGGATTAGCCAATTGGAGACCAGTCATAGAAATCAAATTTGTGACATACTTATGTTGATGGAGGAATGTTCCCTTGGATGTAGAATGAACCTCATGACCAAGAAAATAATATAGATTACCAAGATCTTTCATGTGAAATGAGGCATGTAATTGTTACTTAAGTTGCTGAATGAAAGCATGATCAAAACCAGTAATAACCATATCATCACATACAGAAGAAGCAAAACAATACCCACAAATGTGCTATGAATAAATAAAGAGGAATCATACTGAATCTTAGTAAAGGAGAATCCAAGTAGAGTGGAGCGAAATTTCTTGTACCATGCTCTGGGTGCTTGCTTCAAACCATATAAAGAGCATTTAAGCTTGCAAACACCCTTGGATGAAGAGAATAGACCTTGAGGAGGTGTCATATAGATATATTCAGTCAGGTCACCATGAAGAAAATCATTCTTCACATCCATTTGATGAAGAGACAATCCATTAGAAGCAACTTTAGATATTATAGTTCGAACAATTGTCATTTTGGCAACCGGTGCAAATGTTTCATCATAATCAATTCTATATTCTTGCTTGTTTCCTAAGGCAACCAAGCGAGCCTTGAAACGGTTGAGTGATCCATCAAAATTCAATTTCATATAATACACTCATTTTCAGCCAATGGGTTTGACATTAGGAGGACAAGAGACAATATCCCGTGTGAAATTCTCTTGAAGAGCCTGAAGTTCCCCATTCATTGCTTTTATCCAACACACATCTTTAACAGTCTGTGAGTAGCAAGTAGGAATATATATACTAGAAAGTATGGAAGTCAGAGAAGTATGTGAGGAGTCATACCTGTATGGTGAATATCTATCTGGTGCTCGAGATATTCGAACAGAACGTCGTGGTTCCGCTGGTACAGGATTAGGCGGCGGTTCAACATCGGGAAGGGGTGTGGGAACCTGTTGTCTGTGTTTTCTGACATATACATGACCTGGTTTATAACTTTCTATAGACTGAGATATTAGAAAACTTAGGAAGAGTAACAATATCATTCATTTTAAGAGAAACACGAGGAAACATAAATTGATTATAACAAAATGTCACATTTCTAGAAATGCGAAAATGATGATTAGTGACATCATAACACATAAAGCCCTTATGAGAATGACTATACCCCATAAATCACATTGAACAGACTGCGCTCCAAGCTTATCCATTTCAAATGGAGGTAAGTGAACAAAACATACACACACACCCAAAAGTATATAAATCACTATAATCAGGATGAATTTTAAAAAGACGAAAGAAAGGAGAATCAAGATCAATAATCGTAGAAGGAAGACGATTGATCAAGAAGACAGTCGTGGAAAGACCCTCCACCCAAAATCGGTATGGTACAGAAGCTTGGAGAAGTAAGGTGCGTGTTACATCAATCAAATGAAGATTCTTACGTTCTGTCATGCCATTTTTTAAGGGGTATTAGGACAATACCGTTGATACAAGATTCCTTTTTGTTGTAGGTATTCCTGAAACTCATGAGACATGTACTCGCCACTAGAGCCGGAGCGAAATTTTTTAACACTTGCTTGAAATTGAGTTTTAACATATGTCAAATATTTCTTAAACATAGAAAACACTTCAGATTTAGAGCGGAGAAAATATATCCAAGTAAAACGACTATAATCATCTATAAATGTGACAAAATATTTATAGTGAGCATAATAAACTACATGAGACATTCCCCATACATCACTATGAATCATCTCAAAATAATTGGAAGCACGGTGAGCACCAGACGAAAAAAAAAGTGTTTTAATTTTAGCCAATTTGCAAACAGAACATGAAATAGAGATATTAGAAATAACATTTTTATTTCCCAATAAACCGGTTTTACATAAATGAGACAAAACAGAAGAGTTTGGATGACCCAGTTTTCTATGCTAATCCTCATAAGAATTCAAAACATTATTACAAGAAAGAGATAATTGATTAGAAATAAACTGGAGTGAAAATAATCTTCCCACTTTAGGCCCCTTGGTGATCACCTTCCCCGACACCTCCTCCGGCGCAAGACAACCAGACTGAGAAAAATTAATATTACAATTGTTGTCTACCAATTGGCCAACAAACAATAAATTGGAAGCAATACCAGGTGATACAAGTACATCCCAAAAATCAGAGTTTATGTCACCAACATGAGTGATAGATAGGTTATTACCATTAGCAATTTGAATTTGCTGATTACCATAATAAGACTAAATTGTGCAAGTTTTCAGAGGAGCCTGATATGTGATTAGATACACCATAATCAAGAAACCATGGATGTAAAACATTAGAAAACTTACCCTGAATTCCCAAAGCTGAAAGAGCGGAAAGTACCACTTGTTGAATCATTTCAGGTTGTAGAGTACCACCATTAGATGTACTAGTAACAGAAGGACCAGCGACAACATTTGTAGTTGCATGAAATGCCTGCACCGAACATTGTGTTGGTTGTGGAGGACGTGTGGGACAATCAGATATAATATGACCTTGTTGCTTGCAATAATTACAAAACTTATTACTACAACTCCGGGAAATATGGCCAAACTGTTTGCAAGAGAAGCATTGGACTTGTCGCATATCACGATCTTTACCTCTACTCTAGGAAGCATATGCAATTTCTACAGGTTCAGAGTTTACAACATTATGAGACATGGTTCCTGGAGTAAGTGTTGGTGTAAGCCCTAGAGGCCAATACTTTTGGTACTTGTATCAAATTATTTATTAATAATAAAAGGCATTTCTTTATTATGTTTGCTTTCCAAAATAATAAAGTCCCTAGAATGGTTTATTGGTTTAATGAAATGTTAAGTGTGACTTAATCATGAGATCCCATTAAACATAAGAAACTATTCTTAAAGTATCCGTAGTCAAGCTTTAATGTGAAGTGGGATAACATTAAAGCATTAAGATTATTATGAAGATAGATTGATGATCACATCTCATGGATCATAGATAAGGAGTTATCAAGTCTTGACATATGTATGAATATTAGGAGTAATATTTATACTGGATTGACCCGTTATGAGAATACTACATAGAATGTTATGCAAAGTGTCATAAGTTATTCTCATGATGATAATGGTGTATACCACCCTTCGACCTGAAACCACTATGGACCCTAGATGTAGAGTCAAGTACTTTATTGCTGATCAAACGTCATCCGTAACTGGATGACTATAAAGATGGTTGATGGGTACTTCACAAAGCATGCTAAGGGACATGAGTGACCTAGATGGAATTTGCTCATCCTGCATAACAAGATAAATGTCTAAGGGCC